AAAAAAAAAAAAAAAAAAAAAAGGAAAAAAAAAAATTCGATATTTGAGCAAAGGATCGTGGTCGTTAAAAGAGTAACACTTGCATGAAACTTGCATGAATTTCGTAAACAGTAAAACAGAAAATATTTAGCGTTCGGGATGTGTGCTCTTGCCGTGTGTGTGTAAAAGTATAAGTCAATTGATTTAATAGTTTGCACCGTGCATACTTTTCTTCGGTTCAACCGCAAATAATCGTAAAGATTGTTCATAATTGTTTTCGCGGAATAGACTAGTAAATATTTTATGTCAATTAGAAACAAATTATTCATAGGCTGCGTTTCTTGATCTTTTCAATTATCCGTTAAACATTTTTTTTTTCTTCTTCTTCTTCTTCTTCTTCTTCTTTTGCAAAAATTCTTATGCTAAATACACGCGAGTTTAACGCGGCACACACACATCTTTTATATATACATATATATACATATATATACATATATATATATATATTTTTAGACTCTAAATCTTTTCTCTCGAAAAACTACTCGAAACTTTTTTTTTGTCTGCAACCAAAAGTAAAAAAATCTCAAATTTCCAAAGCACGCGATGATCCTTGGAAACGCACCTTGAATTCGGCCTCGAGCCTCTCCAATTGTTTCGCGCTGTACGCTTGCCGCGGTTTCCTGTCGATGCCCGGCTTCCTGGACCGTCTTCCGCTCGGTTTCGGCGCTGCCGATCGCGAAAATACGATCGAAAAAATTAGATAAAAATATCTTACAAAACGTCTTAAAAAAAAAATGAAAGAAAGAAAGAAAGAAAGAAAGGAAAGGGAAAAAAGTGTAGGGTATTTCGAGAACGAGAACTCGATGACAGGCGGATCGACGTGGCCAGACCTTCCCGAAGATTTACAGCGGTGATAATAAAAATTTAACATAACAATGATTGGCTCTTAATCGTTGCACTAACTTGGCTCGGCTCGTACCCAATTACCACTTTCTTCGGCTCGGGACGGCCATTGGGCCGCGACTAGATTTGCCAAGCGTGTCTAAAACATGCGGGATCGTTTGGGGAACGTGTGACATCTTACTGCAAACACGGGGCAACGAATGTGGGAAAGAGGTGGGCAAACAGTTTATACCGAGGAACGTTTGGACGCGATTATCATTGGGTTGCAAACAAGTTGCACACATTTCCGTTCAAGGGGTTATATGAGGCATTATACCGTTGTTACTAGCATTTAGACGATGACCCGCGGCCTGCCTGCGACGACCCAAGGAGACGGACAAAGGGGATGAATTATTCACTCCACTTCCAATCGAATACGAACAATTTGAATGCAGGCGAGAGTTTTTAAGCTTTTTCAAGATTTTTTTCTACGATTCTGCGAAAGTTGAGATAGCGAAGAGGAATTATTTTGTATATCTATAATTCGAGTGCAGACGAAAGTTTTTAATTGAGATTAAGCTTCCAAGATTTTTTTACATTCGATTATGTAAAAATTGAGATATCGAAGAGGAATTATTTTTTATATTTTCGTATAATTCGAGTGCAGACGAAAATTTTTATTTGAGATTAAGCTTTGAAAATTTTTCCATATTCGACTTTTATAAAAGTTAATCATTTCGTAATTTGAATATAGACAAAAATTTTTAACTAAGATTAAGCTTGGAAGATTTTTTTATATTCGATTATGTAAAATTTGAGATATCGAAGAGGAATTATTTTGTGTATTTTGTATAATTTGAATGCAGACGAAAGTTTTAACAAAGTTGAGATATCGAAAAATAATTATTTTGTATATCTGTAATTCGAATGCAGAAAGTTTTAACTAAGATTAAGCTTCCAAGATTTTTTTACACTCGATTATAAATAGAATAATAGAATTCGATTATAATAGAAAATTCTAAAAGTTGAGATATCGAAAAGGAATTATTTTTTATATTTTCGTATAATTCGAATGCAGATGAAAATTTTTATTTGAGATTAAGCTTCCAAGATTTTTTTACATTCGATTCTGTAAAAGTTAATCATTTCGTATATCCGTAATTTGAATATAGACGAAAGTTTTAACTAAGATTAAGCTTGGAAGATTTTTTTATATTCGATTATGTAAAAGTTGAGATATCGAAAAGGAATTATTTTGTATATTTTCGTATAATTCGAATGTAGACGAAAGTTTTAACAAAGTTGAGATATCGAAAAATAATTATTTTGTATATCTGTAATTCAAATGCAAACGAAAGTTTTAACTAAGATTAAGCTTGAAAGATTTTTTTACATTCGATTCTGCAAAAGTTGAGATATCGAAAAGAAATTATTTTTGTATATCTATAATTCGAATGCAGACGAAAGTTTTAACTAAGATTAAGCTTTGAAGATTTTATATTTATTCGATTTATTTTATTTCTGTAAAAATTAATTATTTTATATATCCATAATTTGAATATAAACGAAAAATTAAGATATCAAAAAAGAATTATTTTGTATATTTTGTATATCTGTAATTCGAATATAGACGAAAGTTTTAATTAAGCTTGGAAGATTTTTTTACATTCGATTCTGCAAAAGTTGAGATATCGAAAAGAAATTATTTTTGTATATCTATAATTCGAATGCAGACGAAAGTTTTAACTTAGTTAAAACTTTTGTCTAAGATTAAGCTTTGAAGATTTTCTATTTATTCGATTCTGTAAAAGTTGAAATATTATTTATATTGAGATATATGTATAAATTGAGAAAAGGAATTATTTTACGTATCCGTAATTTGAACCCAGACGAAAGTTTTTAATTTATAATAAAGTTTATATATTTTTAATTTATAATAAAGTTTTGAGATTTAGCTTCCAAGATTTTTTTACATTCGATTCTGTAAAAGTTGAGATATCGAAAAAGAATTATTTTTTATATCCGTAATTTGAATACGAACGAAAAGTTAACGAAAAATTATTTTATATATTTTGTAACTCGAATGCAGACGAAAGCTTTAATTAAAGCTTCGAAGATTTTTCTACATTCGAATCTAAAAGTTAATTATTTCCTTTATCCTTAATTTGAATACAGACGAAAATTCTAATTAAGCTTCGAAGATTTTTCTACATTTCTTCCTATAAATTATTTCGTACATCCGAATACAGACGAAAATTCTAATTAAGCTTCGAAGATTTTCACATCCGATTACATAAAAGTTACATTCGATTCTATAAAAATTAGAATATCAAAAAAAGGAATTTTTATCCGCGTCTTTTTTTTCTTTTTTTTTTTAAATTCAATCAATTGCGTGCGAAGGAATCATAACACGATGATACTTTCTCGTTGAAAAATAAAAATCGATATAGGTTGGAAAGTTTTTGCTTGCAAAAATTTACGAATCTTGAAATTGTTAACAATTTTCGTTAACAATGTTTACGGTATGGCGGTCGATTTTCTGGCGAAACGTGAACGTCGTTCACGAATTCTGGAGAATCGCGATCACTTCGCCTCGAAACGAACGTCCTCCTCCTTTTCCCCTTGTTTAACGTCCAGTTAGCTACTCGGCCCTTACACTCTGAACCAACAAACAGATGTCGCGCGTTTACACAAACCGTATTTTGTATTATTTTCTCGTAAACGTTTCCAGATACGAGAACGCCTCTTGCAACAATTTTCACTATATTAATACTCTCATTCGTATCCTCACTTCAACACACGTCCCTTTTCTCTACGATTCTTTCATTTCAATCAACAATAAATCGTCAAATCCTGCCTCTTTTTCTTCTATTTCTCTTTAGATATATTCTTAGATATATTCTCTTTAGATATATTCTTCTATAACGTTTCAAAATTTTCATCAAAAAAAAAAAGAAAGAGACTTTCTTCTTCTTCGAATTAATCGGAATTAAAATCGAACGAAATTTTACGAATGAAGAAGATAGAAAAAAAAAAAAAAATTAAATGTCAAAACAAAGAGGACGAAAATCCAAGTGTTTCTCCTTTTAATTAACGCGATTTAACGCACACATCTCTATTTATAACTTTTGCCTCCTCCGAATTAAAATTTTTAAATCTCGAGATATTTTCCTCCGTCTTCCTCCAAATCTTGAATAGGATTTCTGAGATCGAGATCGATCATCATCGTTTCCTAGAAGCGAGCGATGATTATTGGGCAAAAAAAGAAAAAAAGGAAAAAAAAAAGGGAAACGCGGAGGAAAGAAAACTGACGGAATAAAGATTTACGAGTGTACAGAGACGTTTAGCACCTCACCGGAAGGTGGTTAGAGTAACGTCGCTGATAAATGGGCTTCTAACAGCATGGCGGATAGTAGCGAAACGAGAGGAACAACGATGGCGGATTCGAGTCAAGCGGACGAGTATTATCGAGCGCTGCGAGTCGACATCCGCGATCGAGGATATAAAAAAAAATACGCGAGAAATAAGTGAATTGTTCGAAAACAACTATGCGACGACTTTTTATTTATCCCGTAAAAATATATCTGAGTTGGGGAAGAGACGTCTCTCTAACGATTCGTCGTTCGTTATGGAATTTCGTATGGAATGGTGATCATCGATTTCTAAAAAAATAATTTTCGTAACAAGAATTTTAAAAAGTTTAAAATGGTTTGATGCCAAAAATATTCTTCGATTTACAGTTTTCGTAAAATATATTTCAATTGGAAAAGAATTGTCTCTAATGATTACGTATGTCGATTTCTAAAAAAATAATTTTCGTAACAAGAATATATCTGACGATCGAGAAATAGAAAGAAAAAGAAGATCGTTTAAAAAGGTTTGATGCCAAAAATATTCTTCGATTTACGTAAAATATATTTCAATTGGAAAAGAATTGTCTCTAATGATTACATGTACGTGACATGTCGATTTCTAAAAAAATAATTTTCGTAACAAGAATATATCTGACGATTAAGAAAGAAAAAGAAGATCGTTTAAAAAGGTTTGATGCCAAAAATATTTTTCGATTTACGTAAAATATATTTCAATTGGAAAAGAATTGTCTCTAATGATTACGTATGTCGATTTCTAAAAAAATAATTAATAAATAACACATATGTGACATGTCGATTTCTAAAAAAATAATTTTCGTTACAAAAATATATCTGACGATTAAGAAATAGAAAGAAAAAGAAGATCGTTTAAAAAGATTTGATGCCAAAAATATTTTTCGATTTACAGTTTTCGTAAAATATATTTCAATTGGAAAAGAATTGTCTCTAATGATTACGTATGTCGATTTCTAAAAAAATAATTAATAAA